CTCAGATGTAGCCTGTGGTAACTCAGTAACCAATTGGTTTCCCATAGTGAGGGGAACAAGGACTATTTCTAACAGGAACTCAATGGCTGGCTCTTTGGCCTCCCCACCCCCTAAGGGAGGAGCAGTCCTGTTAGGCCACAGAGGAGAGCTTTGCAGCCAGTCCTGAGGATACCTGATAAAACAGGATCAGATGAATGGGGAGGAGGTCCCCCCTATCAGTGGACTTGGCAAGGGGCACGGTGGAGAGGAGGGAGAGAGGGAGGGACTGGGAGGGAATGAGGGATCGGGACACGGCTGGGGTACATAGTTAATAAAATGTAACTGATAAGAAAAAAATAAAATACGAAAAAAAAAAGAAAGTGAAAAACTTTTGGAAGGCAAGGACATCATCACTTGGATAAAGCAGCAGCCTACAGAATGGAGATTTTACCACCTACTCATCTAATAGAGAACTAATATCCAAAATATAGAAATAATCCCAAAAGATTATTTCTATATTCAAATCAACAAAAGAAATAACTCAAGTAAAAAAAATGAGGTACTAACTGAAACAGAATTTTTAATAGAAGAAACTCAAATGGCTGAAAAACAGTTCAAGAAATGTTCAACATCCTTAGCCATCAGAGGAAACAAAGCAGAACTACTTTGAGATTTCATCTTATAGCTGTCGGAATAGCTAAGATCAATAAAATAAGTGACAGCTCATGCTAATGAGGATATGGAGTAAGGAAAACACACATGATTGCTGTTAGGAGTGCAAGTTTGAGAAGTTCTTATGGAAATCAATGTGGCAGTTCCTCAGGAAGCTAGAGACAGATCTATCTCAAGATCCAGTCATACACTCTTGGACATATACCCAAAAGGATGCTTCATCCTGCCACACAGACATTTCATCAATTATGTTCATTTCTACTCTATTCATAACAACCAGAAACTGGAAAGAACCTATATGTCCCTCAACAGAAGAATGGATAAAGAAAATGTGGCTCATGTATACTATCATATCATCTGCAAACAGTGATATTTTGACTTCTTCCTTTCTGATTTGTATCCCCTTGATCTCCTTTAGTTGTCTTATTGCTCTAGCTAGAACTTCAAGTACTATGTTGAAGAGATATGGAGACAATGGGCAGCTTTGCCTTGTCCCCTATTTCAGTGGGATTGATTTAAGTTTCTCTCCATTGAGTTTGATGTTGGCTATAGGCTTGCTGTATATTGCCTTTACTATGTTTAGGTATGTGCCTTGTATCCCTGATCTCTCCAGGACTTTAAACATGAATGGGTGTTGGACTTTGTTAAATGCTTTTTAGGCATCTAAGGAGATGATCACTGAGTGAGGTATCCCAAAAGCAGAAAAACACACATGGTATATACTCACTTATATAGACCTATAAGATAGGATAAATATACTAAAATTGATACACCTAAAGAAGATAAACAAGAAAGAGGGCTTGGGGTAAGGATGACCAGTTCTCACTTAGAAAGACAATTGGAATGGACATTGGATGTAGGAGAAAACAAGTAACAGGACAGGAGCCTACCACGGAGGGCCTCTGAAAGACTCTACCTAGCAGTGTATCAAAGCAGATATTAAGACTCATAACCAAACCTTCGACAGAATGCAGGGAATCATATGAAAGAAGAGGGAGTTAGTAAGACCTGGAGAGGACAGGAACGCCACAAGGACCAAATATATCAGGGCACAGGGGTCTTTCATGAGACTGTTTCTCCAAACAAGGACCATGTATGGATATAACCTAGAACCCCTGCTCAGATTTAGCCCATGGTAGCTCAGTATCTAAATGGGTTCTCTAATAAGGGGAACAGGGACTATTTCTGACATGAACTCAATGGCGAGCTCTTTGACCCCACCCCTCTTAGGGAGGAGCAGTCTTACTAGACCACAGAAGAGGACATTGCAGCCAGTCCTGAAGAGACCTGGTAAGCTAGGGTCAGATGGAAGGGGAGGAGGTCCTCCCCTATTAGTGGACTTGGAAAGAAGCAGGGAGAAGATGAGGGAGGGAGGGTACAATTGGGAAGGAATGAGGGAGGGGACTACAGCTGGGATACAAAGCAAATAACCTGTGATTAATATAAAAAAAATAAATATATAAAAGGAAAAAAAGAAAATGTGGCACATTTAGGCAATAGTGTATTACAGAGCTCTTAAAAGAAAGGAAATGCTAAAATTTGCAGGTAAATGGATGGAACTAGAAACAAAAATCCTGAGGGAGGTATCCCAGATCCAGAAAGAAAATATTGTATGCTTTCATTTATATGTAGATGTTAACTGTTAAGACAATGATAACTAACTACAACCCATGGAACCACAGAAGTTAGGTATAGAGTTGGAGCCTAGGGGTGACAGATCTCTCTGGGAATGGAAAATAGAATAAATAGTTATAGTTTGATAGTTGGATGGGATAAGAAGATCATGTGGGGAGGGTAGAGGGAGTTGAGGGAGGGAATATAGGGAGAGATAGCTAAAAGTAAGGGCCATTTGAGGGGGAAGCATGGAAAGAAGCTTGGAAACTTCTATTACAGTAGAAGTGTATGTGTATACATATATGTACTTATCTAATACATATACATATAATATATATTATTAAGGCCAACTAAATAAAATCCCCAAATATTGTGGGGAAGACAGAGCCCCAAATAGCCATCTCTTGTCAAAATGAAGCTTCTAGTACCAGGACTGGGTGACATCTAATTGAGTTCTTGGCCAAAAGGTTCCCATGAGAATCCCTAAATAACCCAGGTTGTTGCAAGCTCTATAGGTTGATCTACATAAACCGAGGGCAAGATCTCATCGCCAAAGACAATACCTATACAACTCACTGAAACATGGACATGTCTAGCTGGTGCTTACATAGAGCCTTGCTCCCTATCTTCTAGTGTCTTTGGTACAAGAGGGTACTCTGCATGTTCCCGAAGGAGAAACATAAACACTAACCCAGCCACAGACTGTTTGATCTAGGATGGGGCCCTGCCTGCAAGGTACGCTAAGGCAATGGTGGCACATAGCTGGTGGAAATAACCAACCAATATCTGATTTGGCTTAAGGTGGACTCCACAAGATGGAAGCCATACCTGACACTTCTCGGGTTAGATAGCCTAGGGACCTAGGGGAAAACCAAATACAAGTGTTTTTCTTATTTATAAATAAAGTGACTTCTAGTGACATTTGGCTATACTCATAGATCTGTGCTTTCCTCAACCATCATCAGAGAAGCTTCCTCCTGCAGCAGATGGGAACAAATACAGGGACCCACATGCAGACATTATCTGGAGAGTGAAAGACCTTGGAACACTCATCCCTGAATGGGATGTCTTTATCTATTCCCTCCCTTTAGGGCTCTGGGAACTCTGTGGAAGGGGAGGCAAAAGTGGACAAGAGTCAGAGGTATTGGAGACACCAAGAAAACAAAGTCTTCTAAATAAACATGAGCAAATTTCATATGAACTCCCAGAGACTGAGGCAGCAGGCACAGGGCCTGCACAGGGCTCCACCAGGCCCTTTGCATATATATAATGGCTTCCAGTTTAGTGCATTTATGGGATTCCTCTATGTGCGAATGAGTGGACCTCTGTTACCCGTAACTTCTCTTGGGCCCTTTCTTCCACTTCCTCCTTCTTCTTTTTCTTTGTTTAGGCTAATTCTGATGTGTTCATTATGTTTTATCTTACTATATTTTATTATATCATATTTTATTTTATTATTATCCCTTAGGATCCTGTTTGTTTTCTAATGAGAGACAGAAATGGGGAGAGATGGAGAAGAACTGGAATGACTAGAGGGAGCAAAACCGTAATTAATATATATTATGTGAGAAAAAAATGTTTTCAATGAAAGGGAGAAAAAGAAAAACAGAAACTTAACTAGAAAAAAAATGGTACCAGGATTGCAGAACACTCCTGTGACATTCCTGACCATGTTATTTTGTGGGAGCTTATGGGAGGATTTGGAACTTTACCCTTGAAAGGACATTAGGTACTTAGAATTCAATGGGCTGTTCTGTGGGAGCCTGGAATAGAATTCTGAGTCCTGGCTTGCGACATTTCAGAGGGAAGTTTGTTTGAGAGTTCCTCAAAAGCTCTCCATTGGGGCTGTATATGCGATATTCTGAGTAGAGAATGGGTGCTTTATAGTCCATTGGACCTGCAGAATAAAAGAAGATAAAGGCACCACTAAGTAAAGCTTCTGCTTTACTGGGCTAACTGATGCTCGTCAGATGAGGCTGAAAAAGCATCTGTGATTAAGAAGGGACCAGCATCGCAGAGGTGAAATCTCCTGGATTATTTCCCTCAGCACCAGCACACCGAAGCCATCATCCAGAGGACGCCAAGGCTAAATTTCATGCTGACAGCACAGCCTAGTAAGATGTTAAGAGTCTCTGTTGCGGCACATGGTTTGAAGGCATGAAGGAGTCATGCAGAGTGGCTAAGGCTTGGAACATGTGGTAGGGTCAGAGTCCCAGAAGAGAGACCAGTGGGGAAGGTGTAGCCAGTTACAGTGAAGACCTGAGCAGTGCCTCTCACCAATGCTTTATTATTTGTTCACATGCACAAGCCTACACACAAATGGAAACTTCTCTTGTGCCCACATGCAAGTATTAATCACAGGAGTGCCTGGGTACATATGCAATCTCAAAACAAATACAAACACGGGCCTCCCAACCCACTCAGAATCCCCCCAACAAACTGGTCATAATAAATTGCACAATGCCATCTACAGAAGATTCTTTGAAAAGCACCGGCTTCCAAAGGAACAAGGGATGAGGGTACATGAACAAACTATGTAAGCCAAGGAATTGACCTACATTATGAAAAGATTCTGAAAGCATACTAAACACCGCAAGGGTTATAGAGCACATTTAAGCCTTTCAGACATGAAACACACACAGATCAACTACTCAGTGCTTGAACAAGCTTGCACCCCCTCCTCTGGGCCCTGAAGCTCAGGAGGGAAGTGCAAGGAGGGAGGTGGAGCCAGCTGGTGGATCCCAAGGAATGACAAGGATGGGCTGGGAGGCTTCACTGCTCCAATTCAGACAAGACCTGAAAGCAGAAAGGATGAGATGAGGACCACGTAATGACCATGAATCCCTTTCCTGACTCTCTGCCCTTTCTTCTCTGTCTCCCACAACTGAACATTTGTCACTGTGACCAGTGGACAGACCTATTTGTGTCTGAATTCCCCACCTCCAGACTCACCTTCCCTCATTTCTCCATCATGGGCACCAACCTACTCTGGTGAAGCTCCTGGTCTCTAACCATAACCTTCCTCATGTCAGGAAAGTGACTTGGCTTTCCACTACCCACACCTCCTGGCCTAGTGCCAGGTTGTGTGTGTGTGTGTGTGAGTGTGTGTGTGCGTGTGCACACATGACTGTGTGTCTGTGTGGTGTGTCTGTCTGTGTCTCTCTCTGAGTGTTTGTGTGTATATATCTGTTTTTTTGTGTGTGTCTGTATGTGTCTGTATGTCTGTGTGTGTGTGCTTCTGTGCAAGTACATTGGTGTTTGGGAGTATGTGCAGGTTTGTGAAGGTCAGAGGGCAATCTCTTGTGTCAGTCTTTCCCTTCTTGTTTGAGGGTTGTTTTGAGCCCAGTCTGAGGGCTCTGACAAAAACATGATGGTTTAATTGTGGAAAACAAAACTTTTTAATATTTTCCTTCTGTCATTCGTCACCATGTTTTAAAATGTTTGATTTTAAAAATTACTGCTGGAGTTGCTGACCTGAGGCTTGTGAAAAACTGTCAGATGAATTTTAGCTTGGGATTAGGACAGTACTTGTAGACATTTCTGAAATGGCCTTAAACAGACGTCTGTTGTTTCGTACTATGTACTTTCATGGAGCAGCATCCTCGGCACTAGCGATTATAAGTTAAATGTACCAATCAACTCTGGAAAACGTGGAAGATATATTATGTCCCACAAGGTCGATCAAGCCTTTGGTCAAGATCTAACTCCCTGCATGAAAATAAATCCATGCACATTTGTTTTATCTGTAATAAATGGTAAACCTACATGTACACTAAAGACTCGTATTAAAGTGAATTTCTTTACAGTTTATTATCTGTACATGTGTTGTTTGTATGCCTACCTATTCTGTGTGCCTATATACAGGGCGCTGAAAATATTTCCCAGATGAAAAGGGGTTGCTAGATAGGAAGTCTCCTAGGTTTCATCTCCTACCTTTCCAGACCCCTGTGATCAGCCACCTCTCCAGCTTCACTCTGCCCCTTCCGTTCCAGCAGCTCTGTCCAGGGTGGCTACCTCCTACATTCCCTAGGCCCCATCTGCCTCTGGGCCAGCGGTATCTGGCCTTGCTTTCCAGACACACAAGACTTTCAATTCCCTTCTCAGATCACAAGGCCCTGGCCCTCTGGGTGGACCATTTTATGATTTGGTGGTAAAATACACCTTGAAAAGGAATCCAGGCTGCACATCTTAACTGAAATCCCTCTGAAACCAGAGACCAAATCTTCCATGCATGCAATAGACCACCAGAGCGTGCAGTAGACAACCACAGTGTGCAGTAGACTGTGGACGCAGACCTGGGTGGGCAATCAGGATGCTGGGTTCTATTCTTCCACTTGATATGCTGCCTTCCCTGAGGCCAGTCCCTGCAACCCCCAGGGGCCTCAGTCTCCTCTCTCTCTCTCTCTCTCTCTCTCTCTCTCTCTCTTGATATCAGGGTGTCAACCTATCAATTACTGCTGAGCACAAAACTTGAGAAGCTGAGTATGTGCTGAATAATTCCCAAGTGGCTAGAGAAGTCAGCCTCGGAAGTCTGGGGTACCCAGCCCCAAAGGCATTCCAACTAACCCCGTGTACCCAGCCAAGACCAACTTAGCCCAAAGCTTCCCATCGCTGGGCCATCTCCATCCCATGCTCCTTTTCAAGAGGCTAGCTACCTGTTTATCTGTGAGTCTGGCGCCAGGTCGAAGAAGAGTTCTTCAGAGTCATCAAGGCCTCAGCAGCCTCTAGTATCTCCTGACACTCTGAGGTGTCAGAAACCAAGGCCTGGTCAGAGGCATTGGGGCCCTGCAAAGGAACGGGTGTGAGGAGAACATGAGCCTTGTGTCTGACACCTCTTCTCAGAAGCACAAATGACCCCTCCAACACCCCCAGTGCTCAGATGCCTCCAGTGCCCACTGCCAATGTCTAGACAGCCTGCTCTACATCCACTTTGCTCTCACCACCCAAGTTTCCGGAACCCTCACTTCTGCAGGGACCTGTGGCATCAGTGGATGGCGGTCCGTGACAAGACATGGCATGAGGACCATATTTACGCATCTAGAAACAAGAGGTGAGGGGATTAAGCACTTGGGTGTGTAGGCAGCACCTGTAGAGGGAGACTGGCAGGATTTTGTGGTATCAGAAGGTGGGAATCCATAGGACTGTGGAGACCTTAGACCCCATGGCTTAGACATGCCTATTGTCCTGCACAGTCTGCTTTCCTCTCCACAAACTGCTCCTCCTACCGAAGACACATTTTTTTTTTTAAAGAAGATATCAGGGAACCACCAGTGTCTACATTTTAAGTTGCGAAGTCCCTGGAAAGATACTGTGACCTTTGGTTTTCATGGAATGGTTCTCGCCAGCAAATTGCCCAGCCACCACAGATCATGAAAGACAAGGCTGGAGCATGTCCAGGAAGCTTTCTCTGCTGGCCTCTGGGGTGACCATTTCCATTCATGACCCTAGGTTTCATTGAGATCTCCTGTCTCACCGGTCTGCTCTGATGTAGAGAAACAGTGTGCACATGTTGAAGGCCCAGTGTGTGGTGGCAGGCCTCATGCTGGCACTCTTTGCAATGTGACAGGTGTAGAATATTTTGTGCCAAAATGACCTCTAGGAAATGGATGCTTGGAAAAATAAAGTTACTGGCACCAAGTCTCCAGAGTAGGGACTGCCAAAGCGGGAGAGGGCCCTGTCCCACCCTTGGTCTGACTTGCAGCTTTCTCCCTCCCCTGCCTTTGTCCTCCTCCTACCCATGATCATCTTCTTCCTGATCCTATGGAACCAAGCCCAGAGCTGGACACACTGACACAAGACACAGCCAGCTCCACCGCCCTTTCTACTCACGGGTTGGGCAAGGCAGAAGCCCCATGTAGCTGCATGTAAGGAGAAACTACCAATTTCTGGTCCGAGGTCACTGCCATGTATGGCAGAGTTGGAAGTGCTGAGGGCCAGCAGAACATCTGACGCCCTTGGGAGCTCCCCTGTAGAGACAGCGATCACAGGTCGGGATTGGGTTCCAGGCCAGCCATAAAGAGAGGAGGCACGGGGAAATTTTAGACTGATGGCAAGAACCCAGAATGCCAGGGCTATGACCACATCTTCAGAAACCCTTTCAAGCTTAGCATGCTCTATTGACACTGAGAAGACTGAGGCCCCCTGAGAGGTGATGTTTCCCAATTTCAGCACAAGGCAATGTCCTGAAATGTTAGAGGTGGGAATCCTGACTTTAAGACACAGTTAAAAAGGGTCTTGACAGTAGCTGGTGAGAGCCCCCCACTGTAGCAACAGATTCTTACCGCTTGGTGGCTTGTGGAGGGCAGGTCTTCAGGCTGGTACACAGTGTTCTCCCTCTCGGCTGTGAAAGACCAAGAAATCCTCCCCACCGGCTGCCCACCTGCCTCTTCTGAACATACTCATGGCTACTCTGAGGACTCATCACCATAGACCTTTTCAAACCCCCACCTCAGCCCCCACTCTGCCCCCAATCCCCACCCCTATTCCATGACCTCTACTTCCTGCAAATAAGTGCTACCTATCACTGACATGATGTCATTTACTACCTGGGCCCACTGAGGTCCAGGGTGTACGCCCAAGGTCATACTGTAATTCTGTGACAGGGCTGGTCACACTTACTAGTGCTGTGATTCCCTCCAACCAAACAGAGGCTCCCTCCCCAGCCAAGGACACTCACTGTGACCTCTTGAATTGGCAGGGGACTTCTTGCCCTGACTGGGGTTTTTTCTGGGGACAGTTGTTCTTGGTAGTCCAATCTGGCGTCTCTTTACAGGTGTGCCATGCACCATCTCCTCAGAACTCAGGGCAGGCAGGGCCTCGTTTTCACAACTGTAGGGAATTGAAGGACACCTGCTGGCCATGTGCAAAGGGGGCCTGACCCCCCTTATGCACCCAGACACCATACTCACGAGGATCCAGCACAACTGGGACTCCAGCAGACCTGAGAATTGGAGGAACGGGCTTCTCACCTGACTTGTATTTCATCGCCACTACTAAGGCCTCTGCCAGAATGAGCTTCAAGTCCACTGAGGCCTGGTTCAAGTCCCACTTCGGCTCCAGCCTGGTTCTCCACGTTACCTTCTGAGATGGAGGGGCAGGAGGGAACAGCTGGGTTGTCTTTTGGTTCCATGCTTCTGGAGTGGAGAGCAGAAACACCACTGTATCCCTATGACCCAACAGTAACTGTTCTTTTTTGAGAAACATAAAAAAAAACCCTCCAAAACCAAAAACCAAGAACAAACAAACAAAAGAAAACAACACAAACAAGCAAACAAAGAAAACTGCTGACTAGAATCTTCCAACACACTCACTGCTAGTAACATTTCTTCCTCTCATGGTTTCCTTTTGCCTTCATCTCCTATTCATACTCACACAGTCAACATCCTTCCCATATTGTCTCACTCGCCCACCACCTCCCCACATCAGCCTCTGGGCATTGGCTCCATTATGAGATCAATCTGCTCAGGCTCATGCCACAGGTATTCCAGGAATACGTCAGCAGCCCCTGGCCTCCTTCAACAATCACGCCAAGGCCCGGACAGTTTGACAGCTGCCTTCCTGGTGCCTCACATTCATTCACTCCCCACATGGGAAAAACACTCACCAAATCCTGACTCGGTGTTCAATTTTTCCCTTCACCCTCCATTCAGGATTTCCTCACACCTTACTTCATGTTACCTATTCCTTCCCCTCGATCCCCTGGATCGCCTTGATCCACTTGATCCCCTTCCTTCTCCTCCCCACCCCCAACCACGCCCATGATATCCTCTTGTTCTTCTGAAGACAGTGGACACAGGAGTCATACCTAAAAACCCACCACCCAGGAACCTGCGGTAGGGGGATTATGCCTGAGATCAACTTGGTGAGATGCTGGGTTTCAAATAAACAGTATTCTCGAGAATTCCATCGAGATCTCCCCAAGCTAGTGTTTTACCCTTTCATTCCTTCCCAGCATCCCACAAGTGACAGATGTTTGTTGAAGTCCATGGGGAGTACCGGGCCCCGACTAGACCAAAGACAGCATCAGTCAGACTCAGCTTTCTGCCGCTCAACACATGCCCTCTCTTTTCGTCAAACCCACACATTCTCTCCCCAGCTTTCCCCGAATCTTCCAGAGTTTTCTGTCTGTCTCAAAAATCGGCGAAGGTCGGGGCCAGGCCCGAGTATGGCTTCTTCTCCTCCCTCACACCCACTACCTGCCTCAACTGCTCCCTGGCAATTCCCGGATTGGCAGGCAACCTGAACAAAAGAACTCTCCGAACTCTCCGGAGGGCTTGGGGCCTGGCACAGGCGGGCTGGAGG